GACAAGTTTTAATCAACGTTTAATTTTTAGTTTTGTATTTGTTTTTTTTTTAAACAGCCATTGTAAACCTATATTTGGAGTTGTTTCTTTGCTATTTCGATTTAGAGTTGCTGCGATCTCAAAGAAAAGAACATTTAAAGATACCCGCCAGAGGCGTAGCGATGGGGGGGGGGGCAGGGTGGTAAATATGTCCCCGGGCGCCGACCTTAGGGGGCGCCAAAATGGGTTGTCAAAAACAAATTAAAATGTCATTTTAGCTGCATATGTGCATTATAAATAGTTTGAGGAGGGTGGTGCAAAATCGAAAGTTTGAGGGGGGGGGGGGGTGCAAATTGGAAATTTGCTCCCGAAGGGGCGCCAAATTGAAATGTGTCCCCGGGCGCCGGGAAGGGTCGCTACGCCTCTGATACCCGCTACGATAACACTAAATTTACGTAGGGTCTTTTTTTTTAAAATTGAAACGTTCTAATAATGTTAAAATATAAAACTTTTAAAACTATCGTTATAATTTTTTTTTCACACGACTGTTTTTCTTGCTTTTTTATGCTTCGTCAACTACATGAAAAAATCAACGCAAACTATAGACTTACGTCTGAATGTTTTAGCATATTATCCTTTATACATGTTAGTTTTGTCAATTACCTTTGTGAGGAATTAAATTGCTTGTTGTTTCATATACAAGTTCGTTGTCTATCAATACTTTCTTCGTTCTTAATTTTAGTGTTGGAAAGGATCCCCTGCAAAACAATTAAGTATACACATAATGGTTATGCGCCATTTGAAGCCAGTGAATTCGATTTCAGCCTGCTTTTTTTTTAGGTTTGCTTCCATAGCCGTTGTTCAACCAAGAACAAACTACAAGGCAGCAGTTATTTGATTTGAGAGTTGTCTTTTTACCCGAGGATACGAACTCGAGACTTTTCGGTTTAGCAGCCATAGGCATTACTGACTCGACCACGCCGACCCCGTATCAATACTTCACTTGATGTTTACTTGATTTCCGGGGGTCGGCGTGGTCGAGTCGGGAAAGCTCATGGTTGATAAACCGAACAGTCTTGAGATCGAACCCTCGGGTAGATGAGGCCCGTTAGCTGGGGACAGCCACTCTTCTAGGAGAGACAACTCCAAAATTAAACAACTGCTGCCTTGTAGTTTGTTCTTTGTTGGAAAAAGGCTATGGAAGCAAATCCAAAAAGAAAAGCAGGCTGAAATCGTAGTCAATGGCCTCAATGGCGCATAACCAGTTGACGCGTATCCTTAATTGTGTTGGAGGCGTGGTCGAGTCGGCAAAAAGCTCATGGTTGATAAACTCGAAAAAGTCTCGAGTTCAAGCCCACTGGCAGATAAATCTTGATCCCTTTCAACACTAAAAGTTAAGAACGAAGAAGAAGAAGGGTAGGATGCCAGTTGTTTCTTTTTTCGTTGAAATACTTATTCAAGAAACTGTTTCAATATAATTTAACTGCTAATATTTCTTTTAGACCCAAGTAGGTTTATTTTTGGTGTATATCGACACACGTTCTAAAGGTTTTATTTTTATGAATTTTTTTTAGTAATGATTTTTAGTATTTGATTTGAGAGTTGTCTTTTTACCCGAGGATACGAACTCGAGACTTTTCGGTTTAGCAGCCAATGGGCATTACTGACTCGACCACGCCGACCCCGTATGAATACTTTACTTGATGTTTATTTGATTTCTGTAGAGAGGTTTTGTTTTAAGAAACTCAGGACATTTTTTTTTCTCAGCGCCAGTTCAGAGATGGGCATAGAACGGGCAAGGTCGCAAAGTATAACAAAAGTCAAATCTAGCTTACACAAACAATCAAAAGAAACTGTCGACGGGCGGGGTCACGATCATGGAAGTGGCCACGACAAAGGTCAAGGTCAGAACAATGAAGAAAGGTAGGATGCCAGTTGTTTCTTTTTTCGTTGAAATACTTATTCAAGAAACTGTTTCAATATAATTTAACTGCTAATATTTCTTTTAGACCCAAAGTAGGTTTAGTTTTGGTGTATATCGACACACGACCTAAAGGTTTTATTTTTATGAATTTTTTTTAGTAATGATTTTTAGTATTTGATTTGAGAGTTGTCTTTTTACCCGAGGATACGAACTCGAGACTTTTCGGTTTCGCAGCCATGGGCATTACTGACTCGACCACGCCGACCCCGTATGAATATTTTACTTGATGTTTACTTGATTTCTGTAGAGAGGTTTTAAGAAACGCAGGACATTTTTTTTCTCAGCGTCAGCTCAGAGATGGGCATAGAACGGTCAAGGTCGCAAAGTATAACAAAAGTCAAATCTAGCTTACACAAACAATCAAAAGAAACTGTCGACGGGCGGGGTCACGGTCATGGAAGGGGCCACGACCAAGGTCAAGGTCAGACCAATGAAGAAAGGTAAGATGCCAGTTGTTTCTTTTTTCGTTGAAATACTTATTCAAGAAACTGTTTCAATATAATTTAACTGCTAATATTTCTTTTAGACCCAAAGTAGGTTTAGTTTTAATGTGTATATCGACACATGTTCTAACGGTTTTATTTTTATGAATTTTTTTTTAGTAATGATTTTTAGTATTAGATTTGAGAGTTGTCTTTTTACCCGAGGATACGAACTCGAGACTTTTCGGTTTAGCAGCCATGGGCATTAATTTTTCGACCACGCCGACCCGGTATCAATACTTTACTTGATGTTTACTTGATTTCTGGGGGTCGGCGTGGTCGAGTCGGGAAAGCTCATGGTTGCTAAACCGAACAGTCTTGAGATCGAACCATCGGGTAGTTGAGGCTCGTTAGCTGGGGACAGCCACTCTTCTAGGAGAGACAACTCCAAAATCAAACAACTGCTGCCTTGTAGTTTGTTCTTGGTTGGAAAAAGGCTATGGAAGCAAATCCAAAAAGAAAAGCAGGCTGAAATCGTAGTCAATGGCCTCAATGGCGCATAACCAGTTGACACGTAACGCTTAATTGTGTTGGAGGCGTGGTCGTGTCGGCAAAAAGCTCATGGTTGATAAATTGGAAAAAGTCTCGAGTTCAAACCCACCGGCAGATAAATCTCGATCCCTTTCAACACTAAAATTTAAGAACGAAGAAGAAGAAGAAGATTTGATTTCTGTAGAGAGGTTTTAAGAAACTCAGGACATTTTTTTTTCTCAGCGCCGGCTCAGAGATGGGCGTAGAAGGAGCAAGGTCGCAGAGTGTAACAAAAGTCAAATCTAGCTTACACAAACAATCAAAAGAAACTGTCGACGGGCGGGGTCACGGTCATGGAAGTGGCCACGACCAAGGTCAAGGTCAGAAAAATGAAGAAAGGTAGGATGCCGGTTGTTTCTTTTTTCATAAAATACTTATTCAAGAAACTGTTTCAATATAATTTAACTGCTCATAATTCTTTTAGACCCAAAGTAGGTTTAGTTTTGGTGTATATCGACACACGATCTAAAGGTTTTATTTTTTTGAATTTTTTTAGTAATGTGGTGGAAAAAAAATGTTTATGTAAATATTATAGATTTGGAAGGGGATAGGGGTAATTCCAACTTTCAATGTAACATTAGCAAATACATTCAAAAACTATACCCCATTGTTAGCGTTATCTATAGTTCAACATTTCAAATATGCATGTTAAATACTTTTTAACTAATGGGATTTGCGTCCGTACATTTTCCTGGGTAATAATATCCTTTTAGCATAATCGATTTTGATTTTTCGCACGATTTCAATTCTTTCTCTCTTCCTCTTATACGAGAAAGTAAAAAAGATTGCTTGTTTTTTATTTTTATTTTTTTTAATCATGTTAATTTTATTTCGAATTAATTTCTGTCAACTGTGAGTTACAAAATATTATTTTGAACACGTCGCCAGTATCGGGGAAAGACTAAAATTTGTCGTTCAACGTGGCCATTGGCAGGGTCCCAATCACTGAGATTTTTCAGAAAGCTTTAACGAAGAAATGCACCATTTTTACAGTAGACAGACCATTGGTCACGGCATTTGGCAGAGCCCTAATCCAATGATTTTCTCTTCAACGTTTCGTCACTTACAAAGGATTGTTTAACTTTAACCCTTTATCTACTGACGGTACTTATAAGTACCAATATATGTATGGGCCACTAAAAATTTATAAAACAAAAATTTCCTTCGACATATGCTTTAAGTGTACCAAAAGCAAGATGATAACACATTGTTTAAGAAAAAATTTCATTTAGAACCTAATTCCGTAAATAAAGGGTTAACGTAGTACAAAGCTCATCAATTCACACGTTAAAAAAATCTTTTTGATCCATTTTTTTTAAATGTTGACTGGACTTGTGAAGAGATTTTAAGAAACTCATAACTTTCTATTTTTTAGCGCCAGATTAAGGACAGATGAGTTGACTCGGTCGATCAGCATAAAACAGGCCAAGTACACCTTACAGGCTCACACAGAAGAAACTATCGTAGAAGGTTACAATCAGGGTTCTAATCTAGACCAAGGGCAAGGTCAAAAACATAAAGTAAGGTAAGAGGTCAGTTATTTCCATGAAACTAAAGAACAAGTGGAATATTTTAACAGTAGCGTAGCGAGGGGGGGGGGGGGGCGGCGGGGGGACATATGTCCCCGGGCGCCGACCTTAGGGGGCGCCAAAATGGGTTGGAAAAATAAATTGAAAGGTTGAGGGGGGTGCAAATCGAAATCTTGATGGGGGGGTGCAAATCGAAAAGTTTTTCCACGGGCGCCGGGAAGGGTAGCTACGCCTCTGTATTTTCAATACATTTTAGGAACGAGACACAAGGCAAATAGCTATTTATCGAAACATTTTAAAAGCCGGAACACTCGCTAAAACCTTTTTTTTTTTATTTGGCTAATGCAGTCTAAGAAATTTATTATTTTTAAAGTAATAGAAATGTTAAATTATAAGATTTGTTTATCATAGAGAAAGATAAAAAAACATATTTTTCTATCTAACGATGCAGAAATAATTTTTAGCGTGTATGTTTATTTTAGAGCCATAGTTACAGTTAGGGGTATTGTTGGTTTCAGACTTTTTTCATGGGGGGGGGGGGACCAGAGGCGTAGCGACTCCTCCCAGCGCCCCCCCCCTCCCCCCACACACAAATACATATTTTATACTTATAATTAAAAACTGCAGCTAAAAGTTTTTTATATTTTTTTTCAACCTATTTTGGCGCCCCCCACCCCGTCGCTTTTTCACTGGGAGGGACACATTACGCTTTCGGGGGACGCAGTCAATCTGTCAGTAGGGGTGACAATGGTTAAAGTATATAAATTTCATGATAATTTTATTTCGTCCTGGGGTGGATGTGCCCTGAGGGTGATGAGGGGGGGGGGGGGCAGTGCCCTGGACAGATTTCTGACAGAAACTCTGGCTGTTAGTGTCCGAACATTCTATTTACCATCGTCAACAGGACGACGGATACAGAGCTGTCCATGTCGCTAAGTATAACAAAAGCCACGTCCAGCTTACAGTCACAAATACAAGAAACTGTCGAAGGTCAAGGTCATAATCAGGTTCATGGTCACGACAATGGGCAAGATAAGAGTAACAGATCAAGGTAAGAGGAGAGTTGTTTTTTTTTTCTAAATTTAAAGAAAAGGTGTAATATTTTAAACATGTTTTAAGTAAGAGTGTGCACCGTCAAAATAGCCTGTGACAAAACGACCCCAACAAATCGACTCCCATAACTTCTTTTAAATACCTTCATAAAAAAAAAACCTTTTTCGAGAAGCAACAGCACTTCATAAACAAACATAGAACTTAATAGAAAACTGCCACTTTATAAAATAATTGATTATTGTTGATCAGTGGCGTAGCCAGGATCGTCTCAAGTGGGAGGTTCCAATTTTTACCCGCGGACAAACTTTCGATTTGCACCCCCCCCCCTCAAACTTTCGATTTGCACCCCCTCATAATTTATATATATATATATATATATATATATATATATATATATATATATATATACCGAGTGGTCTATGGGGGGTTATGACCCCCCCTAACCCCCCCCCCCCTGCCTACGCCACTGTTGTTGATTAATCTTCTGTGAAGACCTGTTGCTTAAAAGCCAGCACTGAAGTTCAAATGTATGATATACCGGATGTTTATAGGATAAACGACGTTTTATTTCGATAACCTACATGCATTCTAAAGATAAATGTACGGCGTCAGAGGCGTAGCGAGGGGGGGGGCGGGGGGACATATGTCTCCGGGCGCCGACCTTAAGGGGGGCGACAAATTGAAAGTTTCAGGGGGGGGGGTGCAAATGAAAAGTTCGAGGGCGGGGGGTGCAAATCCAAAGTTTGAGGGGGGGTGTGCAAATGAAAAGTTCTAGGTGGGGGGTGCAAATCGAAAGTTTGTCCCCAGGCGCCGGGAAGGGTCGCTACGCCTCTTTACAGCGTGGACCTTTCTCCCCGATCACTGAATCGGAAATGCCCACAGCCGACTGGTTCGATGGAAGTCATAATTAGACGGTCCTTAAATTTAAGCACACACTACTTTTAATTCTAGATAAATTAATGTTAAAATAAAGCCTTCCGATATAAAGTACTATACGTTCTTGTGTTTAAGTGTGTTGTCTAAGCTAATTTTGAAGAGAATTGATGAAGGGATTCTATTAGCAAGGGGTCATATTAAATGAGGTCGTTTCACCGGGATACTTAGTCTCTACTAGAACCGTATTAACAGAGGCCCTATTGTCGCGAGTCATAAAGAGAGTAGCCGTTTTGTTTGGGGCCGTTTTGTCAATGGCCATTTCAACGCTGCATGAGATAAGAGAAACAAGGCAGATAACTATTTACCAAAACAATTTTTTAAATGCTGAACATAGGGGTCGTCCATAAATGACGTCACATTCGTAGGGGGGGAGAAGGTCCGTAATTTTGTGACGGTGTGTGATGAGGGTGGGGGGTGGGGGTCAGATGGTGGAACGTCACACTTTTGCAGTATAAAAAAGCAATGTTAGAAAATTGATTTTTGCCGTTATTTTGCGTTTTAATAAATTGTAATAAGAAGTGATTAAACTACTTTATTTTGACAGAGTTTAGACAAGATTTTCGAAAACATCGTATTTTAAGAAAAATTCAGCTGCAATTTTGAGAGGAGGGGGGTGCAGGCTGAGGTGTGAAGTCATTTTAGGGGGGGGGGGGGAACTGGCTTTTTTGACGATGTGTGACGGAGGGGAGAGGGGGAGGTAAAAATCGTCCAAAAAAGCGTGACGTCATTTATGGATGACCCCATACTAAAAAAAAAATCACTTTTTGTTTTGGTTTGTTTTTTCGACCTATCCCAGAACATTCTTTTTCTTAGCACATCCCCGACAATTAACAAGAAACGGTCAAGGTCAGTGAGTATAGTAAAAGTCAACTCTAGCTTACATGCACTAACAAGAGAAACCATCCAAGTGCAAGGTCACGATCAAGGTCAAAATCAGGATAGTCCCCACGACGAAGGTGAAGGTCAGAAAAAAGAAGTAAGGTAAGAGGTCAGTTATTTTTAAAAA